GCCCCCGGCCTGACCTTCGTCTCCACCCCTCCGCTCTGTCCCCTGTCCAGAGTCATCATGGCTTTTTGCCCTCAGTTGACGCTTTTACTTTGGAAAAACTACATTTATCGCAGGAGACAGCCGATCCAGCTACTCGAGGAACTGCTGTGGCCCCTGTTCCTGTTCTTCATCCTGGTGGCCATTCATCACTCGCACCCCCCAGTAGAGCACCACGACAAGCCACTGCCATCTGGCTCCAAGGACTGATCTACTCTTGCTTCCAACATCCAACGCCAGGAGAGAAGCCAGGGGTCCTGAGCAACTTTAAAAACTCCCTGGTCTCCCGGCTCCTGGCTGATGCCCGCTCAGTGCTGGGAGGCCGCAGTGCCCGAGACACACTGGCTGCCCTCGGGAAACTGTTGCCATTGCTCAGAGCTGCCCAAAGTGAAGCTTGGCTACAACGGAATGACCAGCCAAATGAAGAGCCCATGCTGACCACAGAGATCCTAGAGACGCTTCTGAAGAGGGCTTCCCTGGTGTCTGCAATGGGGCAAGCCCAGGACCCCCTGGCCCGCTTTCTGGATGCTGCTAAGGACTTTGCACAGGAGCTGCTGACCCTGCCCAGCCTGATGGAGCTCCGAGGTCTGCTGCGGAGGCCCAAAGGGATAGCTGGGCCCCTAGAGCTGATGTCAGAAGCCCCGTGCAGTGACAAGGGGCCTAGCAGCCCAGGTGGCCTCTCCCTCAATTGGTATGATGCCAGCCAACTAAGCGACTTCCTGGAGCCTGAGCTGGTGCCTACCCTGCCTGATAGCAGCCTCAGCCCTGCCTGCTCTGAGTTAATGGGAGCACTGGATGACCACCCACTATCACACCAAACTGGAGGAGCCGGAGCATTGACTAGAAGACATCTTTCCTCGATTCGGGATGCCTCAGGTAATAGGGTCAGATAACGGACCGGCCTTCGTCTCCCAGGTAAGTCAGAAAGTGGCCAGGTTGTTGGGAATTGATTGGAAATTACATTGTGCTTACAGACCCCAGAGTTCAGGCCAGGTAGAAAGAATGAATAGGACAATTAAAGAGGCTTTAACTAAATTTTCGCTAGCAACTGGCACTAAAGACTGGGTGGCCCTACTCCCCTTGGCCCTATATCGAGCCAGGAACACTCCTGGACCCAGCGGACTTACTCCTTTTGAAATCATGTATAGTGCTCCGCCCCCAACTATTACATTTCTGGACCCTGATATTTCTAACTTTGATAGTACTCCCTCCTTACAGGCACCTGCATTGGAAAAGCACCCACTGGATTTAATTGGCTGGTCCAATTCGTAAAGGATCGGCTGTCTGTAGTTCAGGCACTAGTCCTCACCAGCCAGTACCAGGCATTGAGGACTCAGGATCCAGATATGTTATGATGAGTGAAAGATTCCACTCATATGTCCAAGAAAAAGGGAGGAATGAAAAAACCTAGGCGCCATGAGGCCACCTGATAGGAATGCCTGACAAGAGGTCAAGCATTAAGAAACTAGCTTATCAGAAAAACAGGACGTAGTGGTCAAGCCATCTGCATCTGGCAATCCCCGGGGCTCGATACCAGGAAATCAGGAGAAAAACCTCTGTGTCCCTGAGGTCACCTCCCATTTAGCAATCCCACTTCCCCTTAGCCCCGACCCTTACCCCATATTTCTGTGTGCTTTTGAAATTACTCTGTGTGTTTTTGAATTAACCAATAACCGCGCTTCTGCTTCTGTACCCTGCTTCTGCTCTATAAAAGTGCCAAACCCCAGCCTGTAGGCGCGCAAGTCCTCCGAGGAGACTTTGTGCCCACAGGTACCTGTGTACTAAATAAACCTCTTGCTGTTGCAACCCGAAGGCTGACGTCCTCAGTGGTCTCACTCTTACAATTTAATACAGCATTGTTTATCAAAAATAGGAATCATGCAGGTGTGGTGGTACAACCTTTAATCCCAGCACCTGTCCAGGCAAAGGAAGGCAGATGTCTGTGAGTTCAAGGCCAGCCTGGTTTACTCAGTGAGTTCTGGGCCAGCTGGGGTAACAGGGAGACCCTGTCTCAAAAAGATCAAAACAAACAAACCAGGAATCCTAATTTCGTGCAAATAGTGTACTAAATTTCTAGCCACACAATAGAACATGCTGCAGCCATAAAAAGTAACAAAGTTCATCATCTCTCAGGAATGTAATGTAAGAGAGATTAAATGATAGAAAAAAAAGGGAAGTTCGCTATCATTTGTATGACAGGGGAAGGAAGAATCCATGCATATCCTTATGCATAAAATACCACTCTGTTGCATAGGATTGTGCCTGAAGGTCAGGCCATGGACAGATCCTTCTTCCCAAGCTTGAGTGCAGCCTAGGATCACCATAGCTAACCTTGCTGACTGTTACACTACATAAGAAAGGAGGGGCAAGGAAAGTCAGCCCTAGTTGCACAAGGAGGAAGGGCTAAGGGTATTTAAGCGAGAAAGCCTTGGGTAGGGTCTCTCACCATTTTATGTGGCTGTGGGGAAGCTCTTTGAGTAAGCCCAATAAACTTACAGGTTTGCTGAAGGGACCAAGGGTGGGGGTTGGGGGGACAACGATGTTGTTTATACCTCCCTGAAGGAATTTTGGCTACAATTGGCATAATCAGCAGGATACAACAAAACTGAGGATGAGTTTGAGAGAAGTGATGGTGTTGTCTCTGATATGGGGAAGGAGCCAACCAACCAACAGAAGGGAAGCTGAGGGGAGAGTTGGCAGTGGAAATTCTGACATGGTGGGCTATCCCCAGAGGGCTGATGAGGGTCGCAGCTGTGGAATGGAATGTGCAATGGGTAGTGAGATATGTAACTAGGATAAGGCCACCTAAGTGGATGATGTCAGTGGGAAAATTCCAGGATGGAAGTTCTTTTGTAGGTGGTATGGAGTGGCACACCTGTTTGACTAGTGGAGTCTGCCAAGGGAGTATGGAGATGTGGGAACAGTGGAAGGTTTAGAACAGACATTACAAGCCATGGGAGCCAGACACCAGGGGCAGAAAGATCAGCAAGCGGCTGCTGTGAATAATAAAGGATCTGTCCCAGGTCAAGTCAAAAGTCCTGAGAGGCTGAAGGCGTAAGAGAGGAATGCAGTGGGAAGGGATGTGAGGCTGGCCTCTTCAGTACTGGCCTCTGACCTTACCAGTAAATTGAATAAAAGAAAAAAGAGATAGAAGTGTTAGCCTGCCATTTTTTTATAGCTAGGCCAGAAGGGGAAGAGAGCTCAGATTAGATCGATAATACTAGGATCATCCTGGAACCCCAAAACCTGGAACCTATAGAAGGCAGATAATGATGAGGAAGGGATCGACCTAGAAATAGCTGAAGATGCTTCCCGGGCTCGACCTATAACACAAAGAAGGGTAAAATCCTGTTTCAGCATGCTGATGGGGCCTTAACAATGGTCTGGTGCGAGAGACTATGGTAAACAGAAACTACTCAGCACTGGAGCTGGTAGAAATAGGAAGACTTTCAAATAAGCAATGAATGAGCCCCTCACCACCTGGCTTGTGAGGCTGTGGAACATGGGAGCAGAGGGAATTAGTTTAAGTGCTGCAGAAGCATTAAAGCAGAGCAATATAAGTACCCATCCCTCCTTGAGACACAGGCTGCATAGCCTGAGGCAGTACAGGGGGAATCAGTCCCTGATGGACTGGCTTGTATGAGCCATTAAAGGTACCTGGTCATCACCAGTGGAGGTTTCCATGGATATCAAGAGCTGGTGACAACAGAAGGACAGGCACTGTTGAGAGAACTAGGTTTGAGGATATTCATGTGTGATACCCTCCTCCTTGGCCCCCTGCCCTGGACTCCCGAGACCCCTGCCCCTCTTTAGGACTAACTGCTTTTTCGCTTCCGTAAACTGCTTGATTGCTTGGCTGAAAGGACAAACTGTACTGACCCCATTTTGACTAGCTGTTTCAGGCAAGCCTGAACATGCCCAGGCATGTTGTAATCTCCACCTACCACCCTCACCCCAGGAGGCTATAGATCAAGCAAGCCCAGGCATATAGCAGCCTTATAGGGTAGGAACAGAGACTTCTGGCCCCACAGATAACAGTCAGCACATTCCACAGCCCTGAGGGTAGCACCCACCAATGAGAAACCTCCAGGACTACATCCCTTGTAACCAATCAATTCAAAAGTGTGTTGGCGTGTGCACGGGCTCCTTGGACTCTTATTATTCTCCTCCTCTCTGTCTAAAACCTATAAAAGGCTTCCTCCCCCTGCAATCGGGGCTCTCAGTTCAGCTTGGTGGGTGAATGCCATAATTCTTCCTTGCTGATTGCTCTGGGAGCCTGATCTTAAGCCTGACTAAAGACTCTTTGTTCTTGCATGCTCTCTGGACTCCGTGGTGATTCTTGGGGACCCGTCCACGGGACACAACATTTGGGGGCTCACCTGGGATCCCTAAGACCACCCCCCCATGGGACCCCAGAGCGTTGAGTCTGCCTGATCCGATCGGTGAGTGTCTCTTGTCTTTGTGTCTTTTGTATTTGCACATGTCTGGTTTTTGGGCCCAGTTTGAGATTGCCTCTTGGAGGTCTAGGCAGATGCGCTGGAAGGGCCCAGGCCGTGGGACTTGGGAGATGTCCCAGACCCACCTGGTGGGGATTGGCTCCCCTTGGTAAATTTGGAAGGACGGAGTGGGTCGCGCCCACCAGGAGGCGAGAGGCCATCGTCCTATTTTCAGTTTAAGGCACCAACTAACCGTGTGTTGTTTTTCTGTGTGTTTGTGCTTTTTGTTGTGTTTGTGACTCTTACTGCATTTAGAAGAGATGGGACAGAACCAAGTAACTCCTCTTAGCCTTTTCCAGGATCACTTCTCGGAGTTCAAAGCCCAGGCTGATAGCCTGGGGTTAAGAGTAAAGAAAAGGAAGCTCTTTATGTTTTGCAGGAATGAATGGCTGACCTTTGGGGCCGGTTGGCCTGAAGAAGGGACTTCGACCTGCCCACCATCTACAGAGTGAAGGATATAATTTATGGCCATCCAGGCCACCCTGATCAGGTCCCTTACATCACGACTTGGCAGTTTATGGTGGAGGAGCCTCCAAAATGGTTAAAGCCGTTCCTTCCCCCTCCCACTGGCTCAAAGCCAACTGTCCTCACTCTATGTGATGAGCGGCAGAGAAATGAAACTAAACCCTCTGCCCCCCTCTACCCTGTCTTCCAAGGAGGCACAGGGGAAGAACTCCTGCTTGAGCCACCCCCCCCATCAGCCTGTTCCACAAGCAGAACCTCAGGACGTTCCAAGGGAAGCAGAGGTAGCCCCACCCCGGAAGGCAGAAGGACACACTCCCCAGACACAGAGGATTGTCCAGAGGGGGCAGCGACGGCCGGAGGCAGACTCTATTGTCCTCCCTCTCCAGGCCGTGGGGCCCCTCACTGAAGCAGGGGACCAGCAGATGCAGTATTGGTCATTTGCATTCAGTATTGGCCATTTGCCACTAGCAACCTTTACAATTGGAAGTTACAGACAACTAAATTTTCTGAAAAGCCCCAAGGTTTAATTGATTTGTTAGAATCTGTCTTGTTCACCCACCAACCCATGTGGGATGATATTCAGCAGCTTTTGCAGGTCCTGTTCACCACTGAGGAGAGAGACCGGATTCAAGTTGAAGCCTGCAAATTGGTCCCTGGGATGGATGGGAATCCTACCACCAACCAGGCCCTGATTGATGAAGCTTTCCCCCTAGCTAGACCAAACTGGGACTTCAATACGGCTGAAGGTAAGGAGAGGCTCCGAATCTACTGTCCGACTCTAATGGGGGGGGGTCTCTGGGTGGCCGCAGGTGCCCGACCAATTTGGCCAAGATTAGTGATGTACAGCAGGGGAATGTAGAAACGCCAGCAGCATTTCTAGAAAGGATTCTAGAGGTGTTCCCTACCTATACTCCCATGGACCCAGAAGTGCCTGAAAATAAAAATGCAGTGATCCTGGCGTTCGTGAACCAGTCAGCACCTGATATTAGGCACAAATTTCAGAAATTGGACAGACTGGCTGATAAAACCTTGCCAGAACTTCTGGCGGTGGCTGAGAAAGTTTACAATCACCGAGAGAGTCCTCAGGACAAACAGGCCCAGGTCACTGCCGCTGCCAGCGCCAAGCAGACCCGTGACTTTGCCAAGATTCTCCTGGCCACGTTGACCAGGTCCCTGGGTGAAAGAGAATGCCAGCTGTGACGCCTATCTGCTGAACAAGGTAGGAAATGCCCAGAAGGGTGACCAAAGTTTCTGAGAAACCAATGCACCTATTGTAAGAAAATGGGCCATTGGAGAAAGGAATGTTCAGAAAGACCGGCTGGACAGAAGCAGGTCCATGAAAGAATACAAGTCCTGGAGCTTGGGGAATGGAGTGAATAGGGAGGATAGGGTTCAGATCCCCTCCCTGAGCTCAGGGTAACTCTCAGAGTGGAGGGGGCACCCGTGAGTTTCCATGTAGACAACAGGTGCTCAACATTCAGTGTTAACAGAGACCCAAGGGAAATTATCAAACAAAATGTCCTGGGTACAGGGAGCAACTGGCATAAACCAATATTCATGGACCACCCAAAGGAAAGTGGACCTAGGCATGGGCCGGGTGTCCCACTCCTTCCTAGTGATGCCAGATTGCCCCACCCACTCTTAGGTAGAGACCCGGACAGCTGATATGCCTTTGCTACGGCACATATGCATGGAGCCATCTACCAGGAACAGGGGCTGCTCACAGTGGAAGGAAAAAGTATTAAAAATAAACAAGAAATTCTGGACCTGTTGGTGGCTCTATGGCTACCTAAGAAACTGGCTATTATCCACTGCCCTGGGCACCAGAAAGCCAACATGCCCATAGCTTGAGGAAATCAGAGGGCAGACTGGCTTGCTAAAGACTTAGCTTTGGAGGCTTTCCAGATTTTGCCAATCCAACTGCCAGACCCTGCCCCCCGATCCTACCTGATCAGCCTCATTACTCCCAAGAGGATATGAAGCCAGACCCAAAAGATCAAGGCTTGGTGGCATACAGGAGACTGTAGAATTATTCTGCCAAATGACTTGGCCAAAGACCTCACACACATCCACTGAACCACTCACCTGGATACAAGGAAGACAGCTGAACTCTTAAGAAATGGTCACTTAAAAGTCCTGAATCTCCGCCCACTGATTAATACAGTCACCTCTGCATGCCTTAGCTGCAAGCTGACCAATGCAGAGAACCATCCTAAGGAGCAAGGGGCTCGAACGAGGGGCTCTAGGCCAGGGGCCCACTGGGAAATGGACTTTACAGAAGTTAAGCCAGGATAGTATGGATACAAATATCTATTAGTTCTAGTAGACACCTTTTCAGGATGGGCTGAAGCGTTCCCCACCAAGCATGAAACTGCTCAAGTGGTGACCAAGAAATTGTTGGAGGACATCTTACCCAGGTATGGCATCCCAGCCCTTCTGAGCTCTGACAATGGGCCAGCCTTTGCTTCACAGGCAACCCAGGAATTAGCTAGGATATCGGGGGCAAAATGGAAACTACATTGTGCATACAGGCCTCAGACCTTGGGACAGGTAGAGAGGATGAATAGAACTCTAAAAGAGACCCTTACCAAATTAACCATGGAGACTGGTGGGGACTGGGTGGCTCTCCTTCCCTTCACCCTGTATGGGGGATGAAACTCACCCTACTTGTTAGGATTAACCCCCTATGAAATCATGTTTGGAAGACCCCCTTCCCATCCTCCCCAGTCTAAGAACTGAACTAACTGCTGAATTTGATAACCGACAGTTGCGTCATTCCCTAGAAGTGGTGGCTCAGGCACATAGGGACATATGGCCCCAGCTGAAAGCTATGAGACTGCTCCACCTCCTACCCCGCACAAATACCAGCCTGGCGATTGGGTCTACATTCGCAGACACTGCCAAGAGACCTTGGAACCTCGCTGGAAAGGACCATATGTAGTGCTCCTGACAACCCCAACTGCAGTAAAGGTAGACGGAGTTGCCACCTGTATTTATCACACCCACATCCGACTAGCAAGTTCCTACCCAGACCCAGACAATCGTCACCCTCCGCTGACCTCTACGCCGGACCCTACAACATGGAAGGTCCACAAGGATGCAGACAATCCCCTCAAGCTAAGGCTGTGCCGCTCTTGATGTTTACCCTGCTGTTTGGAATTAACTATGTATAACTGCTAACCCTCATCGACCTTACAATCTCACCTGGCAGCTCCTGGACACCTCTACTTGGAGACATCTTGGTCCAGACATCCAAGATTGCCCCACTAAACACCTGGTACCCAGAGCTAGGCTTCGACATCTACCACCTCTTGCTCTCTGGACAGAGCCATTGGGGGCTGCGTCATGCTTACTACTATGTCTGTCCTGGGAGCAGAGGAAGAGACTGGGGGAAACAATGTGGGGGAGCCAGTGATTATTTTTGTAAATCCTGGGACTGTGTGAGCATGGGAGACATCTATTGGACAGCCCCTGTTAAAGATGATCTTATCAAGGTTGTCCGTAACAACACCCTCGATGCCATTTATCGTGGGCAGAGGGTTAGAACATGTCCTATGAAAACAGGCTGCAACCCTGTTAAGGTGGTGTTTACTGATGCAGGAAAAAGAGACACCACTTGGGAGGTAGGGAAAACCTGAGGATTGAGAACTCTCAACCCAAGCCCAGGGGGGTTCTTCACTGTCATCCTCAGAAAGGAAACCCCCACCTCTCTGATACCCCAAGGTGTTGGCCCCCATCCAGTCTTAGTGCCCCTAGAACCCAACTCCAGCCCTAAGCGCCCACCTCCAAGGGAAAGTACAACAGTCTTTGGGAGAGCAGCAGTAGCCACGGAGACACCTACAGCTTCACCCTCAGACCACCCTATTTGGCCGCTGGTCACCTCCACTTTTGAGGTGCTCAATGCCTCCAAGCCAAACCTAACTGTGGAGTGCTGGCTCTGTTAGAGTGCCCAGCCACCCTTCTATGTGGGCATAGCTGTAATAGGTAATTACTCCCAAGTTAATAGTAACCAATGCACCTGGGGACAGCAAGGAAAACTCTCTCCAACAAGTAACTGGGGCAGGGACCTGTGCCCTGCCCCCTGGTGCCCAGGTCCCGCCAGGGCTATGTAACCATGTAGTCTCTGTTTCAAATGATACTTAGTACTCTGCCACTGTTGGATGGTGGGCTTGTTCTACTGGTTTGACCCCCTGCATTCAGGGGACCGTCCCTAATAACAAGAAAGGTTACTGTGTCATGGTACAGTTATTCCCCATGATGACTTACTACGAGGAGACCCAGATGGAACTAGCCTACGCACCCCTTTCTGCCCCCAGAACTAAGAGAGCCATGGGGCAGCAGCCATTTTGTTATCCTCCTTGATTGGTCCAGGTATAGCTGGAGCAACTGGAGTGGGCACCTCAGCCTTAATTTTACAGGACCAAAACTACAAAGCTCTCCAGGTAGCAATTGATGTAGACCTCAGGAGTCTGGAACAGTCTGTAACTAAATTAGAACAATCTCTAAACTCATTTGCTGAGCTCACCTTACAGAAGAGGTCTTGACCTCCTTCTTATGCAACAAGGGGGCTTGTGTGCAGCCTTAAAAGAAGAATGCTGCTTTTGTGCTAACCATTCTGGTGTGATTAGAGATTCTAGGGCTCTGCTCGGGAAACTTATCAAGGATAGAGAACAAAAGAACTCTGGGTGGTATGAACAACTGTTTAATTGGTCTCCCTGGCTCACCACCTTGCTCTCAGCTGGACCCATAATCCTCCTATTAATGTTAACTATTGGGCCATGTATCATCAATCGGATGATTGCCTTTATTAAAGAACGGGTGAGTACAGTACAACTCATGGTCCTGAGGTCCCAGTATCAGCCCTTAGAACCCCTTATTAGGGACCCCAACCCAGACCCATGATTGGGTCTTCTCTAAGTTACAAGGAGAGGGGGAAATGTTATACCCTCCTCCTTGGCCCCCTGCCCTGAACTCCCGAGACCCCTGCCCCTCTTTAGGACTAACTGCTTTTTCGCTTCTGTAAATAGCACTGACCCCATTTTGACTAGCTGTTTCAGGCAAGCCTGAACATGCCCAGGCATGCTGTAATCTCCACCTACCACCCCCACCCCAGGAGGCTATAGATTAAGCAAGCCCAGGCATATAGCAGCCTTATAGGGTAGGAACAGAGACTTCTGGCCCCACAGATAACAGTCAGCACATTCCACAGCCCTGAGGGAAGCACCCACCAATGAGAAACCTCCAGGACTACATCCCTTGTAACCAATCAATTCAAAAGTGTGTTGGCACGTGCGCGGGCTCCTTGGACTCTATTATTCTCCTCCTCTCTGTCTAAAACCTATAAAAGGCTTCCTCCCCCTGCAATCAGGGCTCTCAGTTCAGCTTGGTGGGCGAATGCCATAATTCTTCCTTGCTGATTGCTCTGGGAGCCCGATCTCAAGCCCAAATAAAGACTCTTTGTTCTTGCATGCTCTCTGGACTCCGTGGTGATTCTTGGGGACCCATCCACTGGGCACAACACATGTATGATGCCAGTTCACTGGACCAGATGGGACTGTGTTCACCAGAGATTTAAAGAACTTGATTCAGCAGGGACCTCGAGCTTTAGCAGCTTTGCTGAGTCCTTTTGCTGAGTGGGGCAGGATCTTTATAAAGTAGGAGAGACTTTGGCAGATCTAAGTGACAGTGCAAAGACAAAGACAAATCAGAGGAAAAGGTCTGTTTGGGTTACTTGAAGGCAAATGTGGCAAGACTGTGTCTAGCCCAAGTTCCCAAGGAAAAAATTGACAAAAAGTCAAATTCTGTGCTATGGAGCTTTTGCAAGGCTTCGGGTTTTAAAAATCCAAGGAGCAGTTCACAGAAGGCATCCATAATAAACCAGTACAGGTACAGAAAACAAAAACTGTCCCAGGATAATGATCCCCCCAGATTAAACAGGGTACATGTCTCTCCTGTAAAAGGTTATGCTAGGGGGTAGGGAAAATTTGACCAGCCAGGGCCTATCACAGCAATCAGGTATGGTTGATGGAGAGATAACAGGTGTGGCTATCCCACTGGTCAGACCGAGAGCCTACCTAACCCTGGGAACCAACAGGGGCAAAAAGGGTCCTATTCCTCCTGGGCCCTGTGTAGGGCTGGGCAGAATGAGTTTATCAGGGATGAAGAAATGCAATGAGGTTCAATGTAAGAAATCCAGGATACCAAATGGCTCCAAGAAAATGACTAGAAAGAGTAAAGAGCAGAATTGATGCCTCTTATCCAGGCCTTTGTAACCAACATGGATCTGTTAAAAAAATTTATACACAGGCCTCTTGGGGTAAGTCTATAGTGCAGCGCTCCGCGCCAGGACTCCCTAAGCCTCATTCACCCTTCCACCCCACCCCCCCCCCTCCCCCGACCCCCGTTCTATTTTCCTAGATTTGGCCCTG